GTCGACTGCCTTCACCACCAGCTATTCCTTCTCGTCCCATCCCATATCCTGACCCCTTCCAGGGCTATATAGTCGTGATGGCTTGGTGCTTTCCCCTTCCCTTCCCACGAGGTAGCCCTTTTCCTTGCTTTGTTCTCCTAGCACTGTGTTTCCAATCAAGGGGTCTCGTAGCACTGTTGGTTTCGTTCTCGACTCAAAATCGGGGGATCCTGGTTTCGAGTCTTGGGCGGGATACCTGATCAACCAGGCTGTGACTCATAACGTCAGGCTGCGAGCAGCCGCGTCCAACAGCCTGGTTGACCAGTCCAGCAACGAGGAGGCCTGGTCGACGACCGGGCCGCGGGGACGATAAGCCCCCGGAATCACCTCAAGGTAAGGGACATAAATGGTTGGACACGTTTCCTATCACTTAATGCCTCTGTTCACCTAGCAGTAAATAGGTTTAGTCCACTGTTGTGGGGTTACCCCCCCCCCCCCCCACACTGAGGAGGGTTAGTAGTTCGACGTTGGTGGTAATTCTTAATGGTAATTCTAAACCGGAGTCTTAAGGGCCAGATTCACGAAAGCACTTAAGCAAGTACTTACGAACGTGTACATCTTTCCTCAATCTTTGACGGCTTTGGTTACATTTATTAAACAGTTTACAAGCGTGAAAACGAGCCATTCAACTGTTGTTATTGTTATAAACAGCCTCCTGGTGCTTCGGAGCTCATAAACTGTTTAATATTTGTAAACAAAGCCGCCAAAGATTGAGAGAAGATGTACACGTTCGTAAGTGCTTGCGTAAGTGCTTTCGTGAATCTGGCCCCAGCTGGCAACTTCACCCTGGGGCTGCCAAGAATGTAGAGCTGAACTACACTCGATGCTCTATTTTTTATATAATCTTTTTTCGGAGTTCTTTAATGATTAATGGTAAATGTGGAACCGTTTCCCATTGTCGATGACAGGAAACTTGTTCTGCTTACTGAGGTCACCCTTGAGTACAGTCTACCAAGGTCACCCTTGAGTACAGTCTACCAAGGTCACCCTTGAGTACAGTCTACCAAGGTCACCCTTGAGTACAGTCTACCAAGGTCACCCTTGAGTACAGTCTACCAAGGTCACCCTTGAGTACAGTCTACCAAGGTCACCCTTGAGTACAGTCTACCAAGGTCACCCTTGAGTACAGTCTACCAAGGTCACCCTTGAGTACAGTCTACCAAGGTCACCCTTGAGTACAGTCTACCAAGGTCACCCTTGAGTACAGTCTACCAAGGTCACCCTTGAGTACAGTCTACCAAGGTCACCCTTGAGTACAGTCTACCAAGGTCACCCTTGAGTACAGTCTACCAAGGTCACCCTTGAGTACAGTCTACCAAGGTCACCCTTGAGTACAGTCTACCAAGGTCACCCTTGAGTACAGTCTACCAAGGTCACCCTTGAGTACAGTCTACCAAGGTCACCCTTGAGTACAGTCTACCAAGGTCACCCTTGAGTACAGTCTACCAAGGTCACCCTTGAGTACAGTCTACCAAGGTCACCCTTGAGTACACTCTACCAAGGTCACCCTTGAGTACACTCTACCAAGGTCACCCTTGAGTACAGTCTACCAAGGTCACCCTTGAGTACAGTCTACCAAGGTCACCCTTGAGTACAGTCTACCAAGGTCACCCTTGAGTACAGTCTACCAAGGTCACCCTTGAGTACAGTCTACCAATGTCACCCTTGAGTACAGTCTACCAAGGTCACCCTTGAGTACAGTCTACCAAGAACACCCTTGAGTACAGTCTACCAAGGTCACCCTTGAGTACAGTCTACCAAGGTCACCCTTGAGTACAGTCTACCAAGAACACCCTTGAGTACAGTCTACCAATGTCACCCTTGAGTACAGTCTACCAAGGTCACCCTTGAGTACAGTCTACCAAGAACACCCTTGAGTACAGTCTACCAATGTCACCCTTGAGTACAGTCTACCAAGGTCACCCTTGAGTACAGTCTACCAAGAACACCCTTGAGTACAGTCTACCAATGTCACCCTTGAGTACAGTCTACCAAGGTCACCCTTGAGTACAGTCTACCAAGAACACCCTTGAGTACAGTCTACCAATGTCACCCTTGAGTACAGTCTACCAATGTCACCCTTGAGTACAGTCTACCAAGGTCACCCTTGAGTACAGTCTACCAATGTCACCCTTGAGTACAGTCTACCAAGGTCACCCTTGAGTACAGTCTACCAAGGTCATCCTTGAGTACAGTCTACCAATGTCACCCTTGAGTACAGTCTACCAAGAACACCCTTGAGTACAGTCTACCAATGTCACCCTTGAGTACAGTCTACCAATGTCACCCTTGAGTACAGTCTACCAAGGTCACCCTTGAGTACAGTCTACCAATGTCACCCTTGAGTACAGTCTACCAAGGTCACCCTTGAGTACAGTCTACCAAGAACACCCTTGAGTACAGTCTACCAAGGTCACCCTTGAGTACAGTCTACCAAGGTCATCCTTGAGTACAGTCTACCAAGGTCACCCTTGAGTACAGTCTACCAAGGTCACCCTTGAGTACAGTCTACCAAGGTCACCCTTGAGTACAGTCTACCAAGGTCACCCTTGAGTACAGTCTACCAAGGTCACCCTTGAGTACAGTCTACCAACTACTGACCTTTGCATAACAGTTGCCTAACTTCCACGTACTTAGTTACTGCCAGGTGTAGCGGCAGGAAGCACTCCCATGTCTGGCTCTGCCCGGAAGGTGGTATCAGGTCTAATCGGTTGCGAGCCAACTGTGTAGACTACTATGCTACAGTTATCTGCCGGATTTTGTGTTACGTAAATGACATTTTCTGATGGAAAATGGACACGCCCATTTTGTTAAAACCATGATTTTATTTTTATTCTTAATAAAACAACTGGAAGGAGCAAGTCTATTTTTTTTGTTTTTTTATCTTTATTAGCGAGTGAGCTGCGATTCACAAATGGTGTCGCAGCTAAAGGGTTAAATGGTGGACATGACAGACAGACATGAAGCCTTTACTTCAGGGTTGACTGGCCATGTGAATCTCGTCATAATTTCTGCACATTTTTGACAAACGAAAAAAATTATAGGTAATAAAATGACACTTTTTAAATGTTACTTGTTTAAAGCCAAACAAGTCCCCAGGGACGAATGAAGTGGTTGTCAGGGTCCATAACAAAATGTAAAGAAGAGTCTTGTGAGCCCTCGTCTCGCATAATAAATAAATCATTAGAGGCGATCACAGTACCAGACTCGTGGAGGGTTGCTAATGTGGTGCCCATTATTAAAAAGGAAGAGATAGATCACTTGCGTCGAACTATCGGACCTAGCGTTTATTGTGGGAAAATTACTTGAAACGATAATCGCAAAAGTCATTCGTTTACATTTTGTACAACATAGATTAATAAACGATTCACAGCATGATTTTAATAAGGGCTGGTCATATTGGACAAATTTGTTCTCATTCTATTCCAGCGTATTTGAAGAAGTTGATAGTGGAAAGGATTCTGGCGTTGTGTACCTTGACTTTAGCAAAGCTTTCAATGCAGGGTCACACAAAAGACTGATTAAAAAGATAGAAGTTCACACTATTGGGGCGCTATCGTAAGATAACGACATGGTTACGTCAAAGGAAGTAAAGGATTAGTACAAATGAAGTCAAGTCAGTGTTGGAAACCAGTCTCCGTGGTGTTGTGGTAAGACACTCGCCTGGCGTTCCGCGAGCGCTTTGTCATGGGTTCGTATCCTGGCCGGGGAGGATTTACTGGGCGCAAATCCTTAACTGTAGCCTCTGTTTAACTCAACAGTAAAATGTGTACTTGGTTGTAACAACGATTCTTCGCGGCAGGGATCGTATTCCAGGGACCTGCCCGAAACGCTACGCGTACTAGTGGCTGTACAAGAATGTAACAACTCTTGTATATATTTAAAAAAAAAAAAGTTAAACTGTTGTAAGACAAAGCCTCGTGGCTCTGTCCTGGGACCTTTGTTGTTTACCTATATATAAATTATTTAGATCCAGGATTGAGCAGCAATATTTGCAAATTTGTAGACGATAGGAAAATTGGGTGAAAAATAAATTCAGAAGATTCAAAATCACTTGAAGGCGATTAGACAGGCTTTTCAAATGATCGAAAGATTGGTCAATGCAGTTCAATGCTGATCTGTAAGGTTCTAAGGGCAGTAATTATGAGTTACAAGATATCAGCTGGATGGTATTGAAATAGCCAAGCCTAATAGTGAAAAACATCTGATTAGTAATGATTAGTAGAAATTTAAAACCAAAAAATTAATGCAAGGGTGTTTGAAATAAGGCAAATAGGATCCTAGAATTTATTTCTAGAAGCGTTAGCCATAAAATACTTGGCGTTATTCTTCAGCTATATCTTGCTCTTGTTAGCCCTTAATCTATATTTAGTTTATGCAGTTCAGTTTTGGTCGCCATACTAAATAATGGACATAAATTCATTAGAAGGATATCAAAGTTAACACATAAATTAGAAACCTTCCATCTAAAGAGACTGAAAAAGCTTAATTAACATTCTCTAGAAAGATGAAGAATTATGTGTGACATGATTGAAGTGTACAAGTGGATGAATCAGCAAAATAAAAGGGATATTGAGAACATTCATAGAAGCCGTGATGAGGGTTCGAACCTATGCGGTGGGTGTTCCCACGCACACGTTGTAGTGACTAGACCACGACATGGTATAAGGATTGCAACCTGGAGTTCTCCTGAACACACGAGGGTTTTCTGAGGCTTCCACTGAAGCCAAAAGATGATTTTCCCACAATCCCCCCCATGCACTCTGGCGCTGTCATCTAGGACTTGTTCTACCTAGATGAATCAATGGGAGCCGGTCGGCCGAGCGGACAGCACGCTGGACTTGTGATCTTGTGGTCCTGGGTTCGATCCCAGGCCCCTGTTACCTAGCAGTAAAATAGGTACCTGGGTGTTAGTCAGCTGTCACGGGCTGCTTCCTGGGGGTGGAGGCCTGGTCGAGGACCGGGCCGCGGGGACACTAAAAAGCCTCGAAATCATCTCAAGATAACCTCAAGATATCTCTGACGCTCCTCTTTCCATACACAGAGAGTAATCACACTAACGTGACTGACGCAGTCACGTTAGTGACTTTGTAATCTCTCTTCGTAAGGAAGCTTTCTAATTCCTGGTGATGCCTCCTCTGTACCCGTCCAAGGGAGTTCACGTCCATGCTAGAGTGCGGAGACCAACACGAGATGTTGTACCCATTGACAAAGGCAGTGATGTTATCGTTGGTGGTCTTGCAGTGGGACATAACCGGAGATGTTTCCATTAATGAAGGCACTGATGTCTTTGTCATAGCGGGTCTTACAGTGGGAGCCGTCAAGGAACCAGTTCTTCAGATCGTACATCTTGGTGGTGTTGTCGGTGTGGAGCCGCTCACACAGGTCGCAGTAGGTCCTGGCAGTGGTCGAGAAGAAATTTGGAACCCAGTGATACCTCTTCCATCTGAGGAAATAAGCAATAGATTAACCATTTCTTAAGAACAGTCTCATACACTATAAAAAAAGGTCTGTGTGTCTATTTAACTAAATGTAAACTCTGTCAGCAGAACTATTCGCATACTTTGGGTCATAATATAATGGAATGTGAAAAAATCGCGGAATTCAGAGATAACACCATCAACGGAGCCCAAGAAATGTGTAAGTACTTCATTCATAATGATGTGCTGCCGGGAATCCAAAGTATCCAAAATCTGCTTACTGTAGGTACAGCCTGCACATGACTGTAAAGCTGCCGCCCAGTTGAGTGGGTGTGGAGCACATGACTGTAAAGCTGCCGCCCAGTTGGGTGGGTGTGGAGCACATGACTGTAAAGCTGCCGCCCAGTTGGGTGGGTGTGGAGCACATGACTGTAAAGCTGCCGCCCAGTTGGGTGGGTGTGGAGCACATGACTGTAAAGCTGCCGCCCAGTTGGGTGGGTGTGGAGCACATGACTGTAAAGCTGCCGCCCAGTTGGGTGGGTGTGGAGCACATGACTGTAAAGCTGCCGCCCAGTTGGGTGGGTGTGGAGCACATGACTGTAAAGCTGCCGCCCAGTTGGGTGGGTGTGGAGCAAGACTAGTAACTGTGTGACTCACCATAGATGTAAAGTGCCTTGTATAGTGACTGTTGTGAGCCTCTTGTTGAATCACTTGTGATCCAAAAGATTATCGATGTGTATATAATTGTGTAAATGATTGTGTATTTGGTACATGTATATATAACATTAACAATTGTGTAACTAGATTCAAAAGATGGTTACTTCCTTAACTAAACGAACAATGGGGTTCAGTTCCTGAACCCATTATGTGCCTCTGTAACTCTTTCCACCACCGCCCACGGGATAGGTATGGGATGCATAATAAAGACACTGAATTGACTATAATAAAGGTATCCGGCCAGGGTTGGAGGCCAGAGGCTCGGGGCTAGCCTCACCGAATTATGGAGAGCAGATGGTGAGAGGCTAGTGGACTGGTATAGACGTTTCATTGTCCCATGAAACTGGTACTGACGAAATTGTCAATTTTTGTGTCCATGGAGTTTTTTTTATGCGATTATAGTATCAAAGATATTGGTATGCAAAACGCATGTTCTAATTACAGATTTGCCGTTTGGGTGGTTAAAAAATACAACCTTTTATGGTTGACGCGGACACCGCTCTGTTTTTTTTCGCAGGGATATTCCTGCGCGGGCCCTAAGCCTCTGGCTGGCTCACTAAGTGTTGCTTGTTTCTGTTTGACTTGGGCGGAGTATGAGTATTTATGACTGGTATGGTCGCTTCACTTAAGATTTTGCCATATGTGTTTAACAACTTCTGCTCTGTTGAATCTAAGTTGAAATCTTAATGGGTTTGTAACTGTGCACTGTGTTAGATAATGTTCCAGTGGTCTGTCGGACATTTCACCACAGTGCCACCACTCTGTTGATCGTCAGTGGAACAAAGTCCACAACTATGGTGAACAACCTTAGCCTATCCCCAAACAGGCAAAGCTAAACATAGTTCTAAAGACCTCATGGCTCTTGAAACCATTCATGAACCGGCACAAACACCTGTACATCCCATGTGCCTCCTCCAAACATAACACACACACACACACCTGGCTCACACCCGCACTCTCACACTTGCAATACAGAGACGTTGCCATGGTTAATAACAGGATCTTCAACGGAAAGCCTCGCCTAATCTAGAAATAAACTAACGATTTTGCCAATTCAATTTTTTTCTTTATTATGCACCCCATACCCATCCCGTGGGCGGTGGTGTAAAGGATTACAGAGGCACATAGTCAGTTCAGGAACTGAACCCTCTAGTTCGTTTAGCTAAGCAAATACAAATCTTTTGACGCTAGTTACAATATTATTAATGTTATATATACATGTATATATATATATATATATATATATATATATATATATATATATATATATATATATATATATATACATATCTAATCACCCACACAAATACACACATCAATAATCAAAATAAGAAATTGAATTGAATTGCCTAAAGCAAACATATTCTATATCAACTCAGCGAGTCACAGCTGCGCCAGTTATTTGACATTACCAAAAGCCTCATGTTAATGAGTTATTACCAACACAGTCACATTAATGTGATTACTTGGGCACAGGGAGGGGTAAGCTGTCAATTTATATATATATATATATATATATATATATATATATATATATATATATATATATATATATATATATATATATATATATATATATATATATATATATATACACAGTATACAACTTTAGAACACTTTCCCACCAGGAGACTCGAACCCTATCCAGCACAGAAGCCTTCCAGCAACTGGCATAACCGGTACGCCTTAGCCCGCTCCACCACCTGCTCAGACCCTTAAAAGAGATGGTAATTTCGGAGTATTTAAATACTCCGAAATTACATATATATACACAGTATATATATTTATTTATTTATTTACAAGAAAGAGGAATGTTGTGATAGTGGAACTGGAGAAGTTTTTTTTTTTTGACTTGCCTGAAGTATTCGTTATAGGCTGTATCGTTGTTGTTGAGGTAGATGAGGTGGTCAGCGAGGGCCTTGGCCGAGGGGAAGCTGAGGGCGTCGATGTAGGAGTGTGGAGGAGCGTGTTGAGCATAGTTGGCCAGTCCATACACCACAGGTACTGTCTCCAGCCTGTAGGGAGCATGTCTCACTGTACTGTGTATCCACACTACCACACTGCCACACTGTCACTACCACACTACCTGGTCACTACCACGCTACCTGTCACTACCACACTACCTGTCACTACCACACTACCTGGTCACTACCACGCTACCTGTCACTACCACACTACCTGTCACTACCACACTACCACACTACCTGGTCACTACCATGGGAGGCAAACACCTGCATATCAACATATGAGTCTTACAAAATATTTACATTTGAAACCTTAACTCTAATATTGGTATTTTCTCTACTGGCATATTAACCAACTTCCAGTTATTAGGCAAAATACAGAACAAAATGATTATAATACTCACGATGTGATATCGTTATTTCAGTAAGCCTTCACAAACCCTTCAGATATCGTGCTAATAAGACAAGGAGAAGGAGAACTAACAGGATAAAGCGTCAAGCCATTACGACTATATACCACTTGGAAGGGGCCAGGATAAGGATTTAGGATGGGCCAGGGGGGCTAAAGGAATGGTACCCAATGGTGTGGACGGTCGGGGATTGAACGCCGACCTGTATGCGGCGAGACCATCGCTCTACCGTCCTGCCCAGGTGGATGGTGCTAAGACAGGATAGTATGATAATGTACTTATAAACATAGGCCTACCTTACTTTGTTAGAACTGAAGGATGGCTCAGAAAGTACCTTAATATGTTAAAGAACTTCTCAGTCACATAATCCTGACACAGAGAGTTCTCAAAGGAGAAGTAGAATTTGTAGTCGTCAGAGACCATCTTGTAGCACTTCCTCGCGGTCTTCCTCTCACACTTCCGCTTCCCACAATGTCCGTACTGGTCCACCTGGATCCATTTCCTCAACGTATTTACCAACCTTAAATATTCAACAAGAATATATTTATACAGTTGGGGGTACCTGGGATAGCCTATCTCACCCCCGACCCCTCTCTCACGTCTTCCCTTTCCCTCCCGCCTTTCTTCCCTCCCACCCCTCTTCCGTCTCTGCCATCTCTTCTTCCCCCATTCCCCCCCCCCCCGTCAGGAGAATGTTGATTGTGACAAAACTACCACGAATTTTTAGGATAACATTTGATAAAATTGATGTAATTGGCGAGAGGCCACGAGCTTCCTCTTAGAGAAGAGACCTCTCTTCCTTGTAACTACACTTTGGTAATTACACACACACACATGTACCAAGTGTATGGTTCGATAGTATATGCAATACACACGCAAACATATACACAAACTGCGTACCTCAACGGTATATCTATTAAGCAAACCCAGCATAGCTACTAAATATATGCATTACACACACACACACACCCGCCACCTGTTGATTCAACCCGTTTTCGCACTTTCTTACAGTCAATATTGACTTATTAAATACGTGCATATGTGACATACTAGTTTACCTTGAAAAGCTTCATAGAAAACACCGACCTTACCTAACCTTCTTAGTATGTTAAGATAAGCATCTTATTGCTTCATAATTACAATTATTACTTAACCTATACCTATAATAGGTTAAGTAATAATTGTAATTACGAAGCAATAAGATGCCTATCTTAACATACTAAGAAGGTTAGGTAAGGTCGATGTTTTCTATGAAGCTTTTCAAGGTAAACTAGTATGTTTAGTATGTCACATATGCACATATTTAATAAGTCAATATTGACTATACGAAAGTGCGAGAACGGGTTGGCTAATGTAGTACCAATATTTAAAAAGGGTGACAGACAAGAGGCACTGAACTACAGGCCAGTGTCCTTAACTTGTATACCATGCAAGGTGATGGAGAAGATTGTGAGAAAAAACCTAGTAACACATCTGGAGAGAAGAGACTTCGTGACAACCCATCAACATGGGTTCAGGGAGGGTAAATCTTGCCTTACAGGCTTGATAGAATTCTACGATCAGGTGACAAAGATTAAGCAGGAAAGAGAAGGATGGGCGGACTGCATTTTTTTGGACTGTCGGAAAGCCTTTGACACAGTACCCCATAAAAGGTTGATGCATAAGCTGGAGAAACAGGCAGGAGTAACTGGTAGGGCGCTCCAGTGGATAAGGGAGTACCTAAGCAATAGGAAGCAGAGAGTTATAGTGAGGGGTGAGACCTCAGAATGGCGTGAAGTTACCAGTGGAGTCCCACAGGGCTCTGTGCCTGGACCTATCCTGTTTCTGATATACGTAAATGATTTCCCAGAGGGTATAGACTCATTCCTCTCAATGTTTGCTGACGACGCCAAAATTATGAGGATTAAGACAGAGGAGGACAGCTTGAGGCTTCAAGAAGACCTGGACAAGCTGCAGGAATGGTCGAACAAATGGCTGTTAGAGTTTAACCCAAGCAAATGTAATGTAATGAAGATAGGGGTAGGAAGCAGGAGACCAGATACAAGGTATTACTTGGGAGATGAAATACTTCAAAAGTCAGAGAGAGAGAAAGACCTGGGGGTTGATATCACGCCAGACCTGTCCCCTGAAGCTCATATCAAGAGGATAACATCAGCAGCATATGCCAGGATGGCTAACATAAGAACGGCCTTTAGAAACTTGTGTAAGGAATCTTTCAGAACATTATATACCACATATGTCAGACCAATCCTGGAGTATGCGGCTCCAGCATGGAGTCCTTTTTTAGTCAAGCATAAGACTAAACTGGAAAAGGTTCAAAGGTTTGCCACCAGACTAGTACCCGAGCTGAGAGGTATGAGCTACGAGGAGAGACTACGGGAATTGAACCTCATTTCGTTGGAAGACAGAAGAGTTAGGGGGACATGATCACCACATTCAAGATTCTCAAGGGAATCGACAGGGTAGATAAAGACAGGCTGTTTAACACAAGGGGCACACGCACTAGGGGACACAGGTGGAAACTGAGTGCCCAAATGAGCCACAGAGATATTAGAAAGAACTTTTTTAGTGTCCGAGTGGTTGACAAATGGAATGCATTAGGAAGCAATATGGTGGAGGCTGACTCCATACACAGTTTCAAGTGTAGATATGATAGAGCCCAATAGGCTCAGGAACCTGTACACCTGTTGATTGACGGTTGAGAGGCGGGACCAAAGAGCCAGAGCTCAACCCCCGCAAGCACAACTAGGTGAGTACACACACACACACACTGCATACCTCTATAAAACATGTTTTAACTCACTGTGTCCTGCCACTGATGGGGTTGCAGTTGGAGACAAACCAGGCAGCCATCTTGGTTTTACCGGCTGCGTAGTTGCGGTCAAGAGGGGCCAGCGGAGTCCTCCGCCGGAACACACGCCCGTACCTACAGGCGGCGCGGTCAGGTGTTACACGAGTTATACCTTACACGAGTAATGTTTTCTTTGGATTATGTCCTACAGGAGTTTTCTTTTCCTGTGCTTATATGCCAGTCCATCTTCCTAAGGTTTCTCATCGTCAAGAAAACGGTCGATTTAAAGTGTCCTCTCCTAACCTACCAGAGGACCCAAAACAGAAAACGAGACAGTACGTCACTTTCGCCAGTCGCTTCCATTTTTAAGTATGACAATTTTAATATACAAGCGGCCTGTATATTACTACTATTATTAGATTATTAGTATTTTAATTTAATTTTAACTAAATTGTTTCTGTATTGTGACTAAATTGTGTATTGTTTCTAAATTGTGACTTAGTTTTGATCCCTTCCCAGACACTAAAATTAAAATAGTTACCCCAGACCTGTCTTTATTGTCACTGGTCAGGTCGTCTCCCTAATCTTTGTTTTATACATCTGAAGAAACCCTTTAGGATTTAATTTTGCCTTTCCTCATAAATTTATCTCTGCCTGTTTAGGAATTGCTTGAAGAGGCTCATAATTGGCAATCTTAATTATTATTTAATTACTTTTTTGAAGCTTTTCAAGACTATAACATATTCTGTTTTAAGATACGTTTGCATATATATATATATATATATATATATATATATATATATATATATATATATATATATATATATATATATATATATATATATATATATATATATATATGTCGTACCTAGTAGCCAGAATGCACTTCTCAGCCTACTATGTAATATATATATATATATATATATATATATATATATATATATATATATATATATATATATATATATATATATAAATCCCGATAGATTATTCTGAAGTATCAAATTTCTGATAGATTATGCGGAAATATTTATTTTTTGATAGACTATTCAAAAATATCTAATTCCTGATAGATTATTCTAAATTATCTCATTCCTGGTAGATTATTCTAAATTATTTAATTCCTGATAAATTACTCTAAATTATATAATCCCTAATAGATTATTCTGAAAATCGTCAGTGTTGCAACATACGGCAGCGGAAAGTCCGAATCAAGTCTGTAGGTGATTGTCCAGTTGAAGACGTTCTTGTAGGGGTTAGGGTCTCTGAAGAAGTGGGGCGGAGGTTCGAGCAGCCAGAACACGTAGCGGGTGTGGGCTGATCTGTTCGCAAACCCCCCAGTCTTAGCCTCATGTCGAAATATATTTGTAAAACAATTTAAACCTACTTTTTTAAAACCATATGTGAAGGGTTTTTTATTTTGGCTAGGCTATGTGAAGTGAACTGCCTGCAAAATTACAGCTATGGTAGTTGGAAGAGGTATATTAAGACGTAAATACAAATGACAGGTGCACTTCTCTCTGTTTATACTATCGTGGATTTAATATAATATTTAGCCGGCTCTCTCTCTATCTCTCTATTTCTCTATCTCTCTATCTCTCTCTCTCTCTCTCTCTCTCTCTCTCTCTCTCTCTCTCTCTCTCTCTCTCTCTCTCTCTCTCTCTCTCTCTCTCTCTCTCTCTCTCTCTCTCTCTCTCTCTCTCTCTCTCTTTTCGGAACACATTTAAGATAATTCTCACCGCTCTGTTGGAAAGGAAGCATCACCGGACCTGAAGTGAAAGAGCACAGCATCGAGGTCCCGGAGCGGGAACCTGGAGCGGTCAGCCGTGACGGTGCAAGTGTTGACGCGACACCCGGCCCGCAGGAACGCCTCCCGACCAAACCCGAAATAAAAGTATCGGTTTCCGAATACCTGTAAACGTAACGTTCTTGGCAATGAGGATGTATTCATGTATACAAGAAAGGCCGCTGGAGACCTCACGTTCTCGCGGACATCCTGATGTGTCTGCTGTGAAGAATATTCACCACAGAGCGACGCACACAGCACCACGACAGATTTAGGGCCACGGGACTAACAACACTGCTGCTCATCTCGTCGAGAACCAAGTTTTAGGATAATAATCCACACCACTTCTTTAAAAGATCAAATATGGGTCAGCTATGTAACACACTGGTGGGCCAGGAATGGACCACACCAGTGGGCTAGGTAAGGATCTTACTGGTTGATAAAGGTACAAAGGTACAGTCCACTGGTTGGCCAGGTTTAGCCCACACTGTGGGGCCAGCTGTGGGGCCAGCTGTAGGCCAGCTGGCTAGCCAGTAAACGATCATACTGCAATATGGTGGAGATCTTCCGTACCGCTGACCACAAGTCGCAGGTTAAGTGCTCGCCTGTGAACAACGGGCACACGTTCCTTTAATATAATGAGACTTAACTGCCTATGTTCATTATGACGTTAAACCCCCGTCTCTGCCACGGGAGTAACGACCGTATAACACTTTGGATATGAGTGACTCCTTCCCCCATAGGTGTCAGACGGTCATGGAGTGAAATGCGAAGTCAATAAAGTCGGGAATCTATATTACGTTAATGGTAATCTGGCCTTAATTGAGCGCCAAGCATAGCCCGAGTACTCGGTGTTCCCGGGACAAGGAAAGCGTTAACTGCTTGCCAGTATAATGAGGACGGAATCATCATTTAGTACATTATAAATAACACTACAACCTGTTCTGAAGGTTGTACAGCCAGCCCGTCTTCTTAAGGTTTCCCATCGTCAAGAAAACGGACATATAAAGTGTCCTAACCTGCCAGAGGACCCACAACAGAGAGCGGGACAGTAAACGTCACTTTCGCCAGCCGCTTCCATTTTCTAGTCCAAAGATTTTTGGCTATATGTGACGCATACGAGCAAATAAAAATTATTTGTAATAGGAAAGGTTGGTACATTAATTATAATTATCAAAGATGATTTCCAGTCTGGTAAATCATCTCTCTCTACAAGAGAGATTGTCTGTCTGTCTGTGCAAGATGCTTAAAGCTAACTTCACCCAACTTTGCAGGGGAAATGGTTTGGGGTATAGGACGGACATAGGATGATCGGAGAGTCACCAGAATTTAATTAAGAGGGAACAGCATGTCTGGGTCTCATTCTAACCCCCGATGACGATTTTTGGCACTGCGTACTACCGACGCCTAGCAAAATATTTTAAAAACAAAAATTAAAAAAATAGCTTATAGTAATAAACCCATTATTATCTGATTTTCGAAAAATTGACATAAATGTTCTGTTATTCCTACTTTAGCCATAGTAGAAGAAAACACATTATTCTCCCGCAGTGCTAAAGGTTTTCTCAAGCTCCGCTAGCTACTTTCTCAAAGCAAACGAGTAACTATTACATTTTGGATATTTCACAGCACTAAGCTCTCCCATCAGCAGATGACCCACTCCAATGGTAGACTATTATATTAACTTAAGAAAATTAGATATAGTCGGTGAAAAGACGGAGACCGAGGCAGAATGAGAAAGAGAGAGGTGCAGACACACAAGACAGATACAGAAATAGGGAAAGAAGACAGGAGAAGTTGGAGAGGAGTACGTATGTTTAAAGAAAGTGACAGAGAAAAGGCAATACTTGAAGAGAGGGAAGGGTGAGGGGGAAACATGTGAGAGGGGGGGGGAGGGACATGATGGTAGGCGAGGGGAGTGTAGCACCATAAATGGGGTTTATTTACCAGTTTAACTGATAGTGGTGGTAGTCAAGTCACTCAGGAAATTGTGTCACCAGGATGTTGGCTCCTTGACTATGGAAAAGCCACACCTCAGAGTGTTAAAGCACACATGTTGTATGGCCAGAGGTCAGGTCGTGTCACTAGAGGGAACTTTGCACTGTGCTGCGATATATCTGTGGCGATATAGATGTTCATCTATCCTTACAATATATATTTATATAAATGTCAATCTTTAATTTGTGAATGATTACCTTTAAATATGATATACCTTTAAGTTCATATATTTATTTCTAAAAATCATGCAATTTGGAAGAGAGAATGAAGGGCACACTTTGATAAACATGTTTGTTACAGAGTAAGATATTACAGTGATTATATGTTATACTCAAGTAGAGATAAGTGTTGAAAAAGAGATGAGTTCCTGTTTTTGCCTTAAAATATTAATATATATGGTGGCAGCTTTTACCCACCTGTCTCTCTAAGTCTACCTTTCATCCCGTTTTCTACCCCTCCATTTTCTCTTTCATTAACACAACTCTTCCTCCCTTTCAACAACACCCTTTTCCCCCAATGTTGCTTACCTGTTCATTCTTTTCAGTACTTTATTCACTCTCCCCAGTGTTGTACACAGTGTTTCACTCTCCCCAGTGTTGTACACAGTGTTTCACTCTCCCCAGTGTTCATTCTTGTGCTGTTCAGTGTTTTACCCGTGTGTTGAACACAATGCTTTGTACAATCAGACTGGATATTATTTACTTACTGCCAAATATGTAACATATAATAATAATAATAATAATACTGTAATAATAATACTGTAATAATAATAATATTAATAGTAACATAATAACATGGGATCACTGTAATAAAATTCCTTGTTTTCTCTGTCAAATAACATAACATGCCTTTTTCACAAACATTGTTGCCTGGTCCTCTCTTTGCCAATCACTGAAGACGCGAAAGAGTACTGAGCTCATGTTAACTAATAATTAATATTAATAACCAAGACATTAATGGCCACATAAATTATCAATACATACAATTACTTATCAAATATATACACCATTTTCAAAGAAGCTATAAATATCGACTCACTTCATTCCAAAATAAGATCTTCTTCAGTGGAGGATCGTGAGAACTCCGTTTGTGTACGTTCTTGGGCTTGTCGACAAAAATATTCACGTTCTCGGAGTATGTACCTTCAGAGAACGGATCCTCATAAGGAAAATTAGAGTCCCCTAAAGCCTTCCAGGCGTTCACGGTTCTGTAAGATAAAGTAATTGAGATGAATGTTTTCCCAACGAATGACTTGAAACATTAATAATTTTGTAACTAGCGTCAAAAATTGTTATTTGCTTAGCTAAACGAACTAGAGGGTTCAGTTCCTGAACCGATTATGTGCCTCTGTAATCCTTTACACCACCGCCCACGGGATGGGTATGGGGTGCATAATAAAGAAAGAAATTGAATTGAATTGAATGACTTGAAGACAACGTCGAATTGTCTGGCATCACTGGGAAATGGTTATTGCTGCTCACAAAGCACACATCCATATTTATATGTAAAGACAACAGGAGTATTACGTGCCGGGCAATTATTCTATATAATTAGTTTATGAGGCATCGGCAGGAATGCAATTGAGAGTTAAAATGGCATATTATGTTTCCGAAAGTGATTTATTTTGTTACTAGTGTAACTTATTAATGCTTTTTTCAAAATGATGAGTTTCAAGGAAATTACATTGTTTACTGTGTAAACAGTGAGACAAAGTTTACAATTCATATGCAGTCAAGTATTTAGAAAGCTACAAGGTTTGACTTTCAAATACTAATATTATTGGCGACTAAATCTGACAATTTTAAACCTAAACAGTTCTTCCCTAACAATACTTAGCAAACAAACTTTGCAGAACTGAGTTTCAGCTCCCAGACCGCGCCTTGCCAACTATCAGTTGTCTAATACTATAAATCACAACCCCTTTTTTTGTCTAGTTATACCTGCTTTTAAGGTTATGAATAATGGAAATTCTTATTCTCAACTTCATTCTTCTCCATTAGTACCTTATATCATTACACAGGAGGGAACCGGAACAGACAACTGCTGACTCCTGTTAGCAGGCCGAGAGCTTATTCCCTTCCCATAGCTCATGTAAGTCTTAACCACTAGTTTTCTCTGGAACACAACCAGCCAATCGGTTAACAACCAGGTACCCTCATTACTGCTGGGTGAACAGGGGCGAACAATTAAGGATTAGTACCCAGTCCATCCTCCCTGGCCTTGACTCGAAGTGAAACCGAATGCGTTTACACTACACCACCAGAGACAGTCACGTGACTTTACACAAAAGTATTATCTCGTCTCTACGTTATCGAGATCTCGGAGGATTTTATATGTCTGCATCATGTCCACACTATTTCTTGTTCTTTCTCAAATTGCATTTAGTCCTGTGTAACGTGGGAACTTGTCTAGTTATACACCTGGGAACTTGGCACTGGTGCCATATGCTGTAACAATGCTTGAGTAATGCTAAGTATAACGTTTTGAATGCTAAGTATAATCTTTGGATGCTATATATTACGTTTTGAATTATAACGTTTTGAATGCTAAGTATAACGTTTGGATGCTATATATAAAGTTTTGAATGCTATTATAATGTTTTGAATGCTAAGTATAACGTTTTGAATGCTAAGTATAACGTTTTGAATGCTAAGTATAACGTTTTGAATGCTAAATATAGCATTTTAAATGCTAAGTATACCATTTTGAATGCCTTCTTGTGTAGATTCTGACTTGTGTTATCGGTGTTGCCATACTCAGCTGATGTGATTCTCTTTGTGTGGCTCTAAGATAGGTTAGGTGTTATGTCCGCTCCAAGATCATTTTCTCTTATGAGTTCTTTTGGGCTCCTTCCTCTTACCAAGTATTGTCCCACAGGCCGTCTTGATTATGTCCCCCCGTTCTTAGAGACAGTGACATACATCTTGTCGCAGGAAAGAGGACTGGGACAAGTCTAGGTCATGTTAGTTCTCGCCCGGAGAACACTGAGGTGACCTGGCTGACACCACCATGTTGATACCTACACCTGCCTGGCACCACCATGTTGATACCTACACCTGGCTGACACCACCATGTTGATACCTACACCTGGCTGACACCACCATGTTGATACCTACACCTGGCTGGTGCCACCATGTTGATACCAACACCTGGCTGGCACCACCATGTTGATACCTACACCTGGCTGACACCACCATGTTGATACCTACACCTGGCTGGTGCCACCTTGTTGATACCTACACCTGGCTGGCACCACCATGTTGATACCTACACCTGGCTGACACCACCATGTTGATACCTACACCTGGCTGGTGCCACCATGTTGATACCAACACCTGGCTGGCACCACCATGTTGATACCAACACCTGGCTGGCACCACCATGTTGATACCTACACCTGGCTGACACCACCATGTTGATACCTACACCTGGCTGACACCACCATGTTGATACCTACACCTGGCTGGCACCACCATGTTGATACCTACACCTGGCTGGTGCCACCATGTTGATACCTACACCTGGCTGGCACCACCATGTTGATACCTACACCTGGCTGGCGCCACCATGTTGATACCTACACCTGGCTGGTGCCACCATGTTGATACCTACACCTGGCAGGCACCACCATGTTGATACCTACACCTGGCTGGCGCCACCATGTTGATACCTACACCTGGCTGGCACCACCATGTTGATACCTACACCTGGCTGGCACCACCATGTTGATACCTACACCTGGCTGGTGCCACCATGTTGATACCTACACCTGGCTGGTGCCACCATGTTGATACCTACACCTGGCTGGCGCCACCATGTTGATACCTACACCTGGCTGGTGCCACCATGTTGATACCTACACCTGGCTGGCGCCACCATGTTGATACCTACACCTGGCTGGTGCCACCACAGAGCTACCACCTCCAGAACCATTGAGACATTAGAAAGAATTTTGTCAGTGTCAGAGTAGTTAACAGGTGGAATGCATTAGGCAGTGATGTGGTGGAGGCTGACTCCATACACAGTTTCAAGTGTAGATATGATAGAGCCCAGTAGGCTCAGGAACCTGTACACCAGTTGATTGACAGTTGAGAGGCGGGACCAAAGAGCCAGAGCTCAGCTTCCACAAGCACAACTAGGCGAGTACAATACAAACACCTACACTAGGATGGTGCCATATAGAATAGCAAAAAAGTGCAAAATACTGAGTAAAAAATCGTGAGTAGAATAAGTGTATTGATATGAGACTAAACTATCCATTACTTACCTTGAACTTGTATTGATGATTGCTGATGGTAGCAGGTCTACATTCCATGCACTTATATTGGTGGCTTGTAAACCCAATAAAGGGTTTACTCGGTACGACAAAAGTCTTGGGTAGATTTCAGAGTAGAAGAGATGAGCGAGGATGGTCGCCAGGCACAACGTGACCATTACACTGTGAAACACAGCCAGATATTACACCTTTTGTCTCGACCTCGGCAAGGAATTTATTAATATATTAAGACTGTCAACTCGGCCAGGAATTTATTAATATACTAAGACTAAACTACCAGGAATTTATTAATATATTAAGACTGTAAACTCTGCCAAGAATTTATTAATATATTAAGACTGTCAACTCGGCCAGGAATTTATAAATTCGTAATATTCATGAGAAACATTTGGGTATATGCAAGACACGTGACACATGAGGAAAGCGAGGCAAGTAAGACACATGGAGCACACATGAGACACATGTAGAGGAAAACTGATTCGTGGGATTTAGTCATTAAGCAATTTATATTAATGTATATAGTACTTTATTTCATACGTTAATTTATTTATTTCGATAGCGGACTGTATGATGTTTAAAGTGAACTGTATGCTTTTTATCTCCACAAGTCGTTTCCTACACATCCAAATTCAAATTCAAATTCAAATTTTCAAATTCAATTTTTTTTATTCGGGTAAAAGTACACACATATACGATGAGTTACAAACATAATGTTGGATTTATAGATAGAGCTAGTGTTGGGATTGAGTTCTACAGATGTTGGAGGTAGATATGTTTGGAGCAAATGCTTTTTTGTTTATGATCTTGTTAATAATATTTCATGTACCTGATAATTGTTAGAACAGACCATAAACCCCTGCTAGGATTGTTTGGCAGAGGTAAGCAGATTCCAGTTAATGCCAATGTTAGAATTCAAAGATGGGCATTACTACTCTCGCAGTTTGAGTATGATTTAGAGTTTAAGCCAGGCAAGGATAATGTAGTAGCTGATGCATTAAGTAGATTGCCTGTGACAGAAGAATTAAATTCCAGGATTCCAGTGGAGTATGTTAACCTGGTGGAATCTATGTCTTTTGAGGATATTTCATTCCAGACTATTAGGAAGGTTACTGGTAGAGATCCCAAATTAAGTCTGTTGATGAAATATGTCAAATATGGTTGGAATGATAATTAATTATTGTCAGAGTATGCTGCAGTTAAGGCTGACCTTGGTATTCACCAGGATGTACTCTTGTATAGGAATAGAGTGGTGGTGCCTGGGGAACTGAGATGTAAGATTTTGGAACAGCTGCATGTAGGCCATAATGGCATAAATGCTATGAAAGCAGAAGCTAGAAGTTGGGTTTGGTGGCCAAAAATAGACCAGGATATTGCTGAGGTAACAAAAAATTGTCATATTTGCTTTAAGAATTATCAGAAACCACAGGCCCCAGTACTTTCTTGGCCATGTACTGGAAAACCCTGGTCTAGACTTCATGTAGATTATGCGGGACCTTTGGATAACAAATATTACCTGGTGGTGGTGGATTCATACACAAAATTTCTGGATGTGCATGTGTGTAATTCCACCACATCATCTGTAACTTGTGAATTACTAAGGAAAACATTTTGTAATTTTGGATTGCCAGACATAATTGTCTCAGACAATGCTCCTTATTTTGTTTGTGGAAATGGAGGATTTTTTTCGGAAAAATGGTATTAAACATGTAACACCTGCCCCCTATAATCCTTCTTCAAATGGTCTAGCAGAGAGAGCAGTGAGATCCTTGAAAGAAGGGTTAAAGCGGTTTACGGAAGGTACTATTAATACAAGGCTTTGTAGATTTTTATATAATCAAAGGAAAACTGTTCATTCTACTACTGGTAAATCTCCTTCTGAATTACTGTTTAATAGGCACTTTAAAGTGCACATGGAAGCAGTAAAGACAGATCCCAATAAAGAGAAATCGGTAACTAGCTTGGCCAGTCAGTTGGCTCAGGGAAAGGAATTGTTGTTTAATGAGGGGGATGCAGTATATGCAAGGAATTTTGGAAGTGGAAAGCCCTGGGTGGAAGGGAAAATTTGGGAAGTCCTGGGCCGAGGAACTTCAATGTACAAGTGCAGAGTTTTGGGAACATTAATTGGAAAAGGCATGCAGATCAGCTCATGCCAAGGTTCACAGGGAATTTTGAAGACCCTTCGGGTGGGGGTGGGGCAACTAGTGATGCCCATCCTGATAATGAAGGGGTGGCAGCACCCCTTCATTATCACCCCTTCATAAGGTTAAATCCCACCCTTGATAGGGTCAGCACAAGAATGAATAATGTATGTACTACTAACTAGCTCAAGCCTAGTTGTAAGAATTTCTACCTAAGAAACTACAAATTTGTTTAGTCTGCATTTGTGCCAAATTCAGCACAATCACAGCCTAAATTCCTACCTAATAAAGGTTGGCATAGATTAATTTTTGGTGCAGTGATGTGAATATATAGTTGTGCTGTATTTTTGGGTTTTTTAGATTTTATAGTTTATATAAGTGTGCACTTGCACACACAGGTGAAACTACAATTATGTACAATTAATTTGGCTTGCCAGCCACAACCTTTTATGGTGATTGATTGTGTTGATCAATTTGTCAACTACATGTGACCTAGACTCATCTGACAGGTGTACACCATCTCTTGCCAGGTTTTGTCTGTATGGTCTGGCTGTAAATTGAATGTAAGTGGCATCCAATCGTACTACTCTCTTCCTCAGCCTAAAGTTTATATATTTGGCAGCTCTTTGGTAATATTCTGGATTCACTCCCCAACGATTATTATTGCTCAGTTGGCGAGGTTCCACCAATGTGAACACTACTGAACTACTAATGAGTTTAAATGAGGAAATTATTGTTTTAAGGTGATTATGTGGGATATCTGGGGCTTGACTCATATATTCAATTATTTACTTATTGGATTTAATAAATCGAAGGACCACCCACTTTTGAGAAAAGAGGGAAAACTAATAAAAGTGATCATTAGAATAACACTAGAGAACCAGTGTCTATGGATAATCATTAAAAGAATAATCACTTGAAATAATGAATGGACTGTATTATTAATTAATTAAAGTCAGAGCCTCAAAGACCTACATTGGGGGGGGGGGGGTATTTCTAGAAATTCATATATATCCAGGAACCAGTGTGGTTCGCCACCAGTTCATTGTTGAGAAATGATATAACAAATCTAAACTACTATAGATTCAAAATATGAGAACTCAAATTGTGAATATTAAAGATCATGAATTACTGAGCAACAGTCAGAGCAAAACACATTAATTACCAATCATCATTTCTGGTAACAATCTATTCAGTGCAAAGATTCTACAGGAATTATATAAGAATCAATAATCATATTAAATAAATTTGTACGAAAAAATGTCTTAGTTTAAGACGATTTCTGTAACATCATTTCGTCATTCGTCCTCGTGGTCACAGGATCTCCACAAAGAAAGGACTCGAGGTGAATATCACGAATGATGAGAAACAACTTGATGACTCCTCGTATACACGCTGAAATCAGAGAAATTTAAGTAGCATTTGAATAGGCTACGTTTTATTTTCAATATTCATGAAAACGGAGGAAATTGTCGAAATTTTACTAACGTTGTATATTGGGTATCCTCGCTATATGACGACAGACTACTCACAAATATACATTCTAGGATGATGCATCAAACGAGAAACATATACTTAACATGAGTGTATTAAATACTGAGGTCTGCCGAAACCGCATCAGCCAGTCCCTGACGTCCACTGCTGTGTACGTGTTATTACGGGTCTTGGCTTCAATTGTTGATGCGTTATTAACTGGCTGGGCACTATAGAACACGTGGATAAGTAATTATTAACTGTTGACCGAGTATCAGCGTAATTCTTGCCGATAAATTCCCCAGTCACTACCACGTGTCTCGCCACTCTTCACGCCAGGGATGCCTTCTCTCGCACAATGGCGTCGCCGCCTCCCTCAACCCGTCTCTCGCATTCACCACAGAAATTATTAATCACGAATAATTCTTTTCCTCGCAATTATGGATGTAATACGTTAATGAGAACAGGGTTGCAATTATAGGGATTTAAATATTATCATTCTCGTTTTATGGTGTCAAACGAGAAATGGAGAAGATTTTATTTTCTCCATGACATTCGTACATAACAGAAAGGACTGCTACTACATAACAATTTTAGTTAATAACTCTCGGTTTCAGATTATTGGGAGTTATATTATCCGTAAGTAATTATTACATGGAATACTGATCATTTTAGAGAACCACATTCAATTCTCTAACCCATTGGTAATAAATGTGTCTAACTGGACATTATCTGACGCAATGTTGCTACTCGATTTCATGAGAATTCTAGCATTAATACGCAGATGCAATGGTTAATTTATGTTGACACTACCGTTAGTGAAATTAGTAACTACTGTAGTTAGTATATAATGATAATGATTTATTATAATACAATAGTAGTTTATTAGCGTTGGAAATTTCCAACAGGGACACTAAAGCCCCGAAATCATCTCAAGATAGTATATACAATACCTAAACTAATACGCATAGCAATTCGGGCCACATTCTGGCGGGGTGGGGGAAGGGGGTTATAATTTATATATATATATATATGTCATACTTAGACATCCGAAGTGGAGTAAAGCAGGGCTGCGTACTGGCTCCAACCCTATTCGGGATTTTCTTCGCAGTTATGCTGCGGCACGCCTTCGGATCTGTCACGGAAGGCATTTACCTCCGGACCAGGTCGGATGGGAAGCTCTTTAACCTCGCCAGGCTGAGAGCCAAGACAAAGGTTCGGCTGAGGTGTCTGCGCGACTTCCTCTTTGCCGACGACGCAGCAGTCACTGCCCACTCAGCTGAAGACCTCCAACGGCTCATAACCCGCTTCAGCGAGGCCTCTCAGGCTTTCGGACTCACCATCAGTCTGAAGAAAACACAAGTCATGGGACAAGGAGTGGACTCCCCACCTGACATCGGCATCTCTGATTCCAAACTGGAAGTTGTTCATGACTTCCTGTACCTGGGCTCCACAATCTCTGACTCCCTCTCTCTTGATACGGAGCTAAACAAACGCATCGGTAAGGCATCTACTACCATGTCCAAACTGACAAAGAGAGTGTGGGCCAATAATAGGCTAACTGAGTATACTAAGATTCAGGTTTACAGATCCTGTGTCCTGAGCACTCTCCTTTATGGCAGTGAGTCTTGGACACTCCGCGCCCGTCAGGAAAGACGGCTGAATGCCTACCACATGCGCTGCCTTAGACACATCTTGGACATCACCTGGCAGGACAAGGTGACAAACAACAACGTCTTGGGGAGAGCAAGAATCACCAGCATGTACACAATGCTGAAACAGAGACGAATACGCTGGCTCGGGCACGTTGTGCGAATGGGCGACGGCAGGATCCCCAAGGATCTCCTGTATGGAGAGCTGAGGCAGGGAAAGCGTCCAGTAGGCAAGCCCCAGCTACGGTACAAAGACGTATGCAAAAGGGACCTGAAAGCCATGGACGTCGATCTCGCTATATGGGAGACACTGGCTGCAGACCGTTCAGCCTGGAGGCAGTCTGTTCAACGAGGTCTCTCCAAGTTCGAGGAGTCACTTGCCAAGGAATCGGAGGCAAAGAGACAGAGAAGGAAAGCCGGTAACCAGGAAGACAGACCAGAATCGGACTTCGTTTGTGCTCGGTGTGGGATGGACTGCCACTCTCGGATTGGCCTCATCAGTCACACCAGACGCTGCACCAGGATTGACAACTAGGGCGCAACTCCATAGTCTCCCGAGACTGAAGGATGCCTACTACTACTACATACTTAGTTGCCAGAACGCACTTCTCAGCCTACTATGCAAGGCCCGATTTGCCTAATAAGCCAAGTTTTCCTGAATTAATATATTTTCTCTAATTTTTTTCTTATGAAATGATAAAGCTACCCATTTCATTATGTATGAGGTCAATTTTTTTTTATTGGAGTTAAAATTAACGTAGATATATGACCGAACCTAACCAACCCTACCTAACCTAACCTAACCTAACCTAACCTATCTTTATAGGTTAGGTAGCCAAAAAAGTTAGGTTAGGTTAGGTAGTCGAAAAAACATTAATTCATGAAAACTTGGCTTATTATGCAAATCGGGCCTTGCATAGTAGGCTGAGAAGTGCGTTCTGGCTACTAGGTACGACATTATATATATATATATATATATATATATATATATATATATATATATATATATATATATATATATATATATATATATATATATATATATATATATATATATATATATATATATATATATATATATATATATATATATATTAGTCTATCAATCGAAATTATTGATTGGTAGACTTTCACGACAATATTACTAGGTGTTAAGACTACAAAAGATTAGTTAATATATGGGGGAGCCTTAAATAATTGATGTGGCCTTGTCAACCAGATATGAACACGAATGACTACAGACAAATGCTCCTTGGAGGTGATGCTGGTATCATCTCGTGTTAACTGTTGTACCAAGTAGTTGATATTAATTCTTCTTCCCCTTCAATTTCACCTGTCAAAAGGCAAACACAATAATAATCGTAACCTATATATAATTAACAGCTATATCAGGGAGAAACTATTTTAATTTATAAAATAAGATTTAATTTCTAATCTACTGGTGTATACCAGTATATATACCTTAATCTACCTGATATTACTTAGGTAGATAATTAAGTGCATTCAAGGGAAATGTTTTTATGATGTTTACAGGCCAGAGACGGCGTTTTTTAAGAGGAATTGCCTATATTATAGCAGGTAAATTTAATGGTGACATATATGTGGCAATAATGTCCCCGTTTTCTTCCGAGCAAATTTCCACTGCAGCTTTATTTTGTATGAATTTATTTGTATGTTCAAAACAGCAGCAATATTATCTGCCTATTGTATTAAACGTTAGTAAATTGTGTCGGTTTTTCCGACAACACCTGAGACATTTAAGACATATGAGAGACACTCTCGATACACATGAGACACATTATACATGCATGAAATACATAACACATGTGCAACACAATTGTGACAAGAAACACACATGCGACACGATATAAAAATGAAACACGTGAGACACATGTGACACAGATGAGACACATGTGAGACAGAGATCCTACACACACACATGAGATACTGTGCTTAATAACATGTGTTTAATAACATAACACACATGTGCTTAATAACTCACTAGTTTATCAGCTATCTTATCCTCTCAGAGTAGGAGAGCCATAAATGTATGTACTCACCTAGTTGTGCTTGCGGGGGGTTGAGCTTTGGTTCTTTGGTCCCGCCTCTCAACCGTCAATCAACTGGTGTATAGGTTCCTGAGCCTACTGGGCTCTATCATATGTACATTTGAAACTGTGTGTGGAGTCAGCCTCCACCACATCACTGCCTAATGCATTCCATGTGTTAACTACTCTGACACTGAAAAAGTTCTTTCTAGCGTCCCTGTGGCTCATGTGGGTACTACGTTTCCACCTGTGTCATGTGTACGCATGTGTGTGTATATATGGGTATGTATGTATATAAGTATATATGTTCTTAAATATGACCGAAAAATAAGATTAATAATTCTAACACGAATTTTCTCAATATTTCTTATGTTTCTTTTTACTGTCGATGGTAATTGAAAAATCACCCAAATGCGAGTATAAGTAAGACGGATTAGATGTTTATTGTTAGTATAAGAATAACTCTGTTTAGTGTTTTCAGGTTACAGTTGTGTGTGTGTAAACTAAAGTCTTTGAAAATGTAATAAGTTATTACGAAACGCGTTCAAGCGTCACGTCAGACTAGAAATAAAAATGAATTTTGGAGAATTGATTTTTCAATTACCATCGACAGTAAAAAGAAACATAAGAAATATTGAGAAAATTCGTGTTAGAATTATTAATCTTACTTTTTCGGTCATATTTAACAACATATGTTTATATGTTTACAAGAAAGACTGCTACCAAAATATACTAATATGTATATGTGTGTGTATGTATATGTATAAAAGTATATGTGGCTGATCAGATAAAGCTGATCAGAATTTCATTTCACCTTTGTAAATGCACATTAATGACACTATATAAAGAACACATCGACCACTCTATGTAGGCCAGACGTAACTCTGTATATCCATGTATTTATGTCTGTAGGTTAGATTAGCATTTTAAAAGCACTACAATCACCTTCTGTGGTTGATTGTTCAATAAATACCTGAACTATATGTTTAACAGATCTCTCACCCTGTCCATGGAGGACAGAAGAAAATGTATATATGCTGGTTAGCATTATAAATGTCTGGCCACGTCTGTGGTAGAAAAAAAATAATAATAATAATATTAAAACAAAACACATGAGATACGTGTGACACACATGATGCGAGACACAGAACACACAAAAATACATACACGTACGTCACATACAATACACTCATGAGACACGCACACACACACACACACACACACACACACACACACACACACACACACACACACACACACACACACACACATATGCGAGCAAACGCGAGGCTGGCTAACATCAGAACAGTCTTTAGGAACCTGTGTAAGGAATCATTCAGAACCTTGTACACCACATATGTAAGACCATTCCTGGAGTATGCGGCCCCAGCAAGGAGCCCGTACCTTGTCAAGCACAAGACGAAGCTGGAAAAAGTCCAAAGGTATGCCACTAGACTAGTCCCAGAACTAAGAGGCATGAGTTACGAGGAAAGGCTGCGTGAGATGCACCTCACGACACTGGAAGACAGAAGAGTAAGGGGAGACATGATCACTACTTATAGAATTCTCAGAGGAATTCACAGGGTAGATAAGGATAAACTTTTTAACACGGGTGGTACGCGAACAAGCGGACACAGATGGAGACTGAGTATCCAAATGAGCCACAGGGACGTAAGAAAGAACTTTTTCAGTGTCAGAGTAGTTAACAGGTGGAATACATTAGGCAGTGATGTGGTGGAGGCTGACTCCATACACAGTTTCAAATGTAGATATGATAGAGCCCAGTAGGCTCAGGAATCTGTACACCTGTTGATTGACAGTTGAGAGGCGGCACTAATGAGCCAGAACTCAACCCCCCCGCAAGCACAACTAGGCGAGTACACACACATGAGACAAACGTGACACATATGACTCCAAACCCTTAAAGGTGACAAGTCTCAAGACAGCTGACCTGTTCCACACTTACTGTTTATAGGTCAAGGTCATCCTCTCGTCTCACGAGGAACCTGCAACACGTGGGAAACTGTCATTATGTGAATTTACCTGAGAGCCACCAACACTCTAGTGGCCTCGACGAGGACAGGCAGCCGGCGGCTTGTCAAATGTCCCATTCCCCCCCCCCCCCCCATCCATTTGTTCTGATGGTGCAGCTGGATTTTTAAAATTCAGCACTGTTTTGGCATTTAAGGCTTCGGCGGGTAGGCGGTTCCACGGGTTTATAACCCTGTGGGTGAAAAAGACCACATCTGAAGATGTGGTCTCCATGCCTGGACACAATGATCCAGGCGGGGCCGCACCAGAGACTTATACAGTTGAATCACTACTTTCTTTTCATGAAGTCAAAGGTCTGGTTAGCCGTCACAAGTGAAATTGTCGTTAACCGGTGAAAGTAACACTGGCTGTTAACGACCACAAGTAACACTTCGGCATAGGAGGAACAAGTAACTCTTCGGATTAAGACGGATGTATATTGGGGGGAGGGGATTATCAGGGGAAAGCGCCAAGCCATTACGACTGTATAGCACTTGGAAGGGATCAGGATAAGGATTTGGGATTCAGGTTCAAGATCAAGTATGTTTATTGAGACAATAAAAAATACATCTCAAAGGGATAGAGTAGCTTAGGCTATTTCTACCCCCCAGGATTTGGGATGGGACAGAGGGAAGGAATGGTGCCCAGCAACCACTTGGACGGTCGGGGATTGAACACCGACCTGCATGAAGCGAGACCGTCGCTCTATCCTCCACCCCCAAGTGGTTGGGCACCTCAAAATATAACATTCTACACCAGAAACAGCAAGTAAAAATGGGCCAAAAACAAATAAGTGGTTGACGTGGCAAGCTTGCCATGGGAGGCCATCTTTCTCCTATTGTCCGGGTGAACTCCGTGGGATTGGAGTTCATTGGTCGTGCTGGATATGTGGACATTGAAATGGTTATGTGCAACATGCTCCGTGTTCCTGTGATGGCCGTCTACGGTGTTGAGCTGGTAACTGCCCACTGGGTTGTTATCAAGTTTGTGCTGGAGGAGTACCGTGACTTCCTCCGTCGTTCCGAGGGACGTTCGTTGCCGTTGCCGGGTGGTGCCGGCTCTGTGTCCATCTCGGACCGTAGTGGTGCACTGACTTATGTAAGTGTGTATGGGGCACCCCTGGAGTTTCCCGAGGACCTCCTCCAACGTTACTTTCGTATGGGGCGGTCGTCAGTGTGCGGGTGAACACGCTCTCCTCAGGGCGGTATGCGGGTAGGCGGACGAATATTTGCACCTTGGGGATGCGCCTGCGGTCGGATATTCCATCTTCGGTCCGGCTTATGGGGTTCTATGTTCGGGTGTACTATGCCCGGCAACCCCGTACCTGTTTCAGGTGTGGCTTGATGGGGCATCAGGCTGCCGGGTGCATTGCGGCTCCGGTTGCTCCCATCAACTTGTTCTGAGTAGAGGATTTCCCGCCGCTCCCTCTGGAGGAGGACTCCGGGGGTGAGGAGGTGAACGTCCCGCTAGCTGATGAGGCTCCCCCGGCGTCGCCCGACGTTTCCCCGGTTGTCGCTGACCTTCCTCCGGGTGTTGCGGTGCCGTCGGATGTTACTCCTGTTCCTGTCTCTGGCCCTGCTGCTCCCGTGGACCTTCCTGGTACTCCCTGTGGCACGTCGTCGTCTGCTTCCTTGTCTTCGGCTGCTGGACCTGGCCCTGCAGCCTCATCTTGGGTCCCTACTGTGCTGGGTGCTGGGGTGCCTCCTGCTGTGTGTGGTCCGGTTACCCCTGTGGTAGAGGCTGCTGCCGTTCTGCGTCGGGCGTCGGTTCGTCCGGCTAGTGGTGCCCGTGTTTTTGGGTCCGCTTCCGGCTCTGACGATATCCGGCCGGAGCCCAAGCGTTCCAGGCGTTCGTCTACTGCCTGGGCCGATGTTGGGAACTTCAGTGACTGTGGGTCTTCAGGTGTTGACAGCGTGGATCCGGATGCGTCGTTGTCTCGGCGGGTGGTGGTGGCGGAGGTTCATGTGCCTGCTGGTGCTGATGCCCGTGTCTCGGGTGTGCCTTCTGTTCCTTCCCCGCCAGGGGGCTCTCCGCAGTCGGGTGTGGTGGCTTCCGCTGCCAGGGATGGTGTGGATGCTGGTGCTGGGCGTGGCCTGGTAGTGACTTTACGAAAGGATGCGCGCCGCCCTGGTTCCCTGCAGTCGTCTGGTGGTGTGCCCGTGGCCGCTGGTGCCCCTGTGGTGGTGCCCTCTGAACGGCTCTCTCCTGTGGGGTTGCGACTTGAGGCTCTGGAGGTCGTGGTTGCCGAGATCCTGCTGTCTGAAAGGCCGGAGAGCTTTCTTGATGGGCGGGTTCCCGGTATATGGAGTAGGGTGGCGGTAACTCGCCTCCGGAGTGACACCGTCTGGGTTCCCTGTTTGCAGGTGTTTGTTGCCGGGGTTCCGGATACCATGGCGTCCCTGGTGGACGGTCGAGACTCTTGGGGGAGATGGCTGCTTTGGGAGGCGTTCCATGTGCGGTTTCCTCGGGCCTTGTTCCCGGGCAAATATGTCAGTTGATTTCATGTTCCTGTAGTGTTGTGTGCCCCTATGGCCTTTTGTTTGCCCTATTGTATTTTGTGCACGTGCCTCTCCCTTTCTTTGTTGCGAGGCCGGTGTTTTGGTGAGGGCGTTTTTATTCATGTATTTGCTTTTGTGTTGTTATTTTGCCATGTGTGTTCTATTTATGCATTGCTAGACTGTGTTGTGCGATTTCCTTGTTCTATTTCATGATGTCCTTTATGATGTGTTTTGTTCTCGGTCCTTCAGGCCGGTGTTTGTTTGTTGTTGTGTGTGTTCCTATGTTTTGTTTTCTTGTTGCATGGATTGTTTGTTTCTTATTATTATATGTTTTGGCCTCTCCCTTTGTTTGTTGCGAGGCGGTTGGTTTGGTGTGAGTGTTTTTAGTTATGTCTTGTTTCTGTGAATGTGCCTTGCACTGGTGTTTTATTATTGCATTACATGTTGTGCTTGTTTGTTATTTTTGTTTTGTTTGTTGTTTATTGTGCTTTTCTTGTTATGTTTCATGTTATACATCTTGATGTTTGTTTTGTTGTATACTGTTATGTTTTATAATGTTACTGTGCTTGCTTGTTTTGGCATTGTTTTCTCTTTTGATGTATACTCTTGCATGTCTCGTGTTTGTACCTTGTTGTCCTGTGCTGTTCAGCCCTTCTGGCCGGTGGGTTATTATTTTGTTTTGTTTTGTTATGTTTTCTAATGTACTTTTATTGTTTTTATTGTATTTAAATTGCATGTGTTACATGTAAAGATAAAAATAAAAAAAAAATAAAACTTGGACGGTCGGGGATTGAACACCGACCTGCATGAAGCGAGACCGTCGCTCTATTCTCCACCCCAAGTGGTTGGGCACCTCCAAATATAACATTCTACACCAGAAACAGCAAGTAAAAATGGGCCAAAAACAAATAAGTAACATATGTTTGGATGGAACAAGTAAATGCCTCTTTTTTTAGGTTAGCGAAAGCAAGAAACAATGAGAATTAAGGAAAAGCAGCAACACAGAAGGAAACATTTTCATCCACACTTCCGTGGAAATGTACATAGCGGTTGGGCACCATTCCTTTCCCCCGTCCCATCCCAAGTCCTTAACCTGAACCTTTCCATGTGATATATATAGAGTCGTATTGGCTTGACGCTTTTCCCTGATAGTTCCTTTCCTTCATTCGTTGACAATATATATATAAATTTTAGCCTCTGGTGCAAGTATAGGGACCCATAGCCTCGGAGAAGAAAATAAAGAGTACTCAGAGAAGACCTTGTGGATCCTCACTGAACACTTTGATATTTTCTTCTCCTACCACCCCTTTTCTTTTGGTATGTGTGTATATATATCTAACTTTATTTGAAAATGTCATTACACACAAAAGAGTTAAATATATATTTATCCTCCAATTTATATATGGGCGTTCATCACTCTAATTCCTCTGAGGTTCAGGAGAGCAAGTCAGGGAAAAGTCGAAAACTCCAGCTTGGCAGCAGCAGTAATTGCTTCTGGAGTCTTTCCCTATTAAGACCACTCAATAGCCCGGTCGATGGCACTTCGGCCTCACACTCGCCTCGGAAGGGGGAGGCCATAGTTCGAGTCTCTTCGAGCCCAGGTGAATAAAACAGAAGGAAAACCTCGTATTCCGAGAAAAAAAGGAAAAAGATCTGGAAGTAACTCAAGTATTGGGAAACTGGAACAATTAATACGGGGCTAAGTAGCATTAATAAGTTATAACTGAAGGAACGATGGTAAGTGTAGAGAGAGAGAGACAGATGAAAATAGCACAAGCAACACTTTTAAGATTTTAAGAGTCACCACAAGTGTAAATCACCGGAACTGTGATTTACACTGATATGTCGCGCCATTGTAATTTACACTGATATATCGCGCCATTATAATTTACACTGATATATCGCGCCATTGTAATTTACACTGATATATCGCGCCATTATAATTTACACTGATATATCGCGCCATTGTAATTTACATTGCGATCACTCAGAAATGCGTAAGGATTAAAGAACAATAAATACGGAACGAAGCACAAAATAGAATAACACGCGCAAAACAAAAATAAAAAACAGGTGAAGGCTTGAATACGCAGCGTAGAGTTAATTAAGAAACAGCAATAAGCAGTATTGCGTAGTGCTGTTTCTTGATATCCAGCTTCACACCACTGGGAAGGGTCACTGGGAAGGGTGGGAAGGATCACTGGGAAGGGTGGGAAGGGTCACTGGGAAGGGTGTGAAGGATCACTGGGAAGGGTGTGAAGGGTCACTGGGAAGGGTGGGAAGGGTCACTGGGAAGGGTGTGAAGGGTCACTGGGAAGGATCACTGGGAAGGGTGTGAAGGATCACTGGGAAGGGTGGGAAGGGTCACTGGGAAGGATCACTGGGAAGGGTGGGAAGGGTCACTGGGAAGGGTGGGAAGGGTCACTGGGAAGGGTGGGAAGGGTCACTGGGAAGGGTGGGAAGGGTCACTGGGAAGG